GTCTCTGTCTCTGTCTCTCTCTTTCTCTCTCTCTCTCTCTCTCTCCCTCTCTCTCTCTCTCTCTGTCTTTCTGTCGGTCTGTGTCTCTCTCTGTCTCTTTCTCTCTCTCTCTTTTTCTTTCTGCTTTAAGTACAGATCTATCCTTTGAAAACTTTTTATTAAGATGGATTGTCAATAGTTTGTACATGCTACCGAGGCACAGTGGTTAATCTGGCCATATAATTTGCAAACAGCTGAATTACACAGGAGATACAATGGGCAGTAATCGAGGAATGTCCTTTACGGACACTAATGAATTATACTTGTTACGTCCCCTAGCACGTATCTTGTCTTCGTGGTGTGTGTGTGTGTGTGTGTGTGTGTGTGCGTGCGTGCGTGCGTGTGTGCGCGCTCGTTTTTAATATTCACAATGAGGGAAAAGATGACATATCAAAGTAAATACATGAAAATTCTTCTTATTATAATACTATAATACACGGTGTTATAACACGTGTCAATGTGAGCATAAAATGTTTCGCCATTAACCTATCCGTACATCGTGTATAACCATCGTATCCTTACGATGTGGGGTACTCTGTGCCACCACTTTCCAAAGAGGAAATTACTCGTTAATCCGATCCGTACGCTTTACATAGCAGTCTGTCAAAATGATTTTTTGAGAAATACTGAAAAGTTTCAAAGAGATCTAGATCTACGTACTTGAAGTATTCTAAAATGTGAAAAATGCAACCCCGGGGGTACAAAATGACCCGAGGGCATGCGGATAGGGTTAAATAAAGTTTTTTTTCCCTCCTGTCAGCACGCTTCAGGTTTTAAATCTTCGACTGTAGCATCTGCGTTTGTTGCCATTTTGTTGTCCAAAAGTTGCCGCAAAAATGGCAAAAGTTGCCATAGAAGTTGCCATTAATTGTCAAGCTTTCAACACTCTGTGACGACGTATATATATAGCAAATGTGGATAGAGGTAACTTAATCTAAAGCACCAGAATTTCTTGTGCTCTGCAGAATATCATTTGTAGCCACACAGAGTGTAAAAACGTGAAAAATAAAGGCTTCACAATAGAATGAAATCAAAATTAGAACAGCACATAAACAAAACCCCCCACCAAAATTAACAAATAAAGGCCGATTCACGTGTAGAAGTGTGCTGCGACGGAACGGTATTCCGTCTCACGAGAACAGCTAATGAGCAAACAGAAAGCAGCAGTTTTATATTATAACGCACCGACGGACTTTTTCCGTCTCCGTTCCGTCGCCGCTCACCGCTCCATGCGAATCGGCCTTGATGGTGGTGTCAACAACTTGAACAAGTGAGAAAGAGACAAAGTGAAGCGGTAGTTAAAATAAACTTTCTTTCTAAAGTAAAAGTAAAGAGTTTCGGTTTCTCCCCCCACCCTGTTTTGGGGTTGTTTTTTAATTGATTTTCTATTCCTCGGCGGTGGGTTTTTTTTTCTTTATTTTGAAAAATGCCAAAAGTCGCGGTCACGATTCGCGGGTCGCGGCCGCGACAAACGCAGATGCTAGGTGGTAGATAGTTACTTGCGAGCATGTCGTCATAGCTGTATAATGTAATACAAGGACTGCGATACATTTTCAAGTTTAAAGTTCAAATCTGAGTGGGTGGTTGGTGGGTGCTCTGGTCTGGTTTGCTCCTTTCCTATCAAATATATATCGTCTTTATCTCCCCTCCTTCTTTTTTGTGTGCTTGTTATTGTTACTCTCTAGTAATACCTCTAATCTTCGGCACTAATATGACCTTATTGTGTTGCAAGTTTTACAACTCTTACTAAAACAAATAAAATCTGAGAGACGTTCGGTGCCCTGGTAGACCCAAAAAAATATTTTTTTTTAAAGGGGAAAAAAGGGTTATTAGTAATGCTAAGAAGTCAGAGCATAAGAACATTAGTTCAAGAATACATGTATGTATTGCATTATCAGAGCATTACTTTTATCAAGTAGGAGGGTTGTAAAGGGTTGTGTCTAATATAACTCTCCCCCCACCCCCCACCCCCACCCTTCACGTACTCGCGTCAGGTACACTAGAATCTAGTAGATCTACATCCTGTTTAGTTTTAGTAAGAGTTTTACGGCACTGCAACACGATAAGGTCATAAGTGCCATAGATTAGAGGTGTTATAAGAGAGTAACAAACATAAAAAAGAAGGAGGAGAGATAAGGATGATATATGTTTGATAGGAAATAAGAAGCAAACCACACCAGAGCATCCGCCGACCACCTACATCTACATCCTGTCTGAATTGAAGTGAACTATCAAATTAATGTCCAACAAGAAGACAAAGCCAACTCCGTGGCCTTTTATTAAGTCGCATTGCAGTATCCACATGGTCTTCTTTTCACGCTATCGTAGTGCACTGTGCTGCTTGAAATACATCAACTAAACTTTGACTGAGACCTATTCTATCACTAACACTAACAGTGTTATACATGCACACTATACACTCACTTAAATACTCTTGACTAATGAAAGAACTCAATACCAACGAAAACTTCGAGTTTTTGAGTTTATTTGATCTGATTACTTTCAAAGAAATAGCCTTCAGTTAGATGTTCTTACATTTCTTGTCTTAATAATAATAAATAATAATTGCATTTATATAAGGCATTATATCCACACTCTACACAGTATTCTCTATTCGATTTACAGCTATCATTACACCAGCAGTTCCTAGAACACTCAGAAGATTCTCGGCTTCTCAGGAAGCATACAGTGCTAACTGCGGATTTCACGCGTGCAAAAACTGACCAACTGACAAGATCTTTTGCTGTCTTTAGCTGGGTAGCCATTGTTACCTGGGTGAAGTGAGGAAAATAAGTGAAAAGTTCCTGTCCCAAGTAGACAACGCCAGGCCCCTTGCGGGACTCAAACCCCCGACTTTACGGTTGCGAGTCCGAGAGCCTAACCACAAGGCCACAAGCCTATCCGTATGTCTGTTTTACTATCGTATCCATATGACGTGGGGAACTCTGTGCCACCGCTTTCCAAAACGGAAATTTACTCGTTAATCCGATCCGTACGCTTTGCATAGCAGTCTGTGAAAATGATTTTTTGAGAAATACTGGAAGTTTCATCAAAGAAATCTTCGTACTAGAAGTATTCTAAAATGTGAAGAATACAACCCAGGGGGTACAAAATGACCCCAGGGCGTACAGATAGGGTTAAATGCACTTTCTGTGACGCTTGAATAGACGTAAAGGCCTTGAACATTTGATCAAGCTCTCACTGGTAAAATTGAGGGCAAAAACGAGGCAGGGGTAGACCCAGAGCAACTTATTTGCAAAGTCCTAAACAGATTGGAAACGGGGAAAGATCAGAATAAGAAAAGTAGGCCCCCTATTTTTTGTCAAGATCATCTGAGCAAAGTAATGAACGGCGAACCGTGATCGTCAACATCTGTCGCATATCTGGCACGATGATGATGATGATGAGTTTTCCTATACTCTCGTCAACACGCTATCCTGCAATAAAAACAATGCTCAACGGCCTTCCTCTCTAACAGCTTACTACGTTGTACACTAAGCTGTCCTTATAAACCTCTTTCAGCCCGCCCCTTCCCTTTCACAGTACTTGTTCCCACCACTATCACAATTAGTATGGCGGTCCAGCTGAACTTATCAACACAATCTAGAGACCAGAGGTCACAACATTATGCTTTTATGATAACTCAGCAGTGAGCCATTAACGA